TGTGTCTCTTTTTTTTTCTTTTTTTTTTGGTCCCTGCTCTTGGCCCCGCCGAGGACGCGGCGGGCATCCGCTTGTTTTCTTTTAAGAGAGAGAAGGAGACAAGGAAATATGTAGAAGGAGAATGCATGAATGCTGTAGGATTTAACCCCCAGTCATATTGCCACCATCCCATCACCTTCATATCACCTCCTCCCTTGTTGCTCATCAATAAAGAATGAAAAAATCTCTCTCTCTCTCTCTCTCTCTCTCTCTCTCTCTCTCTCTCTCTCTCTCTCTCTCTCTCTCTCTCTCTCTCTCTCTCTCTCTTTGTATGATTCCTTCATTTTCTCTTGAATTTGGAGAGTTCATGACTGTATGAGCTTTGTGTCCTGGTAGTCAGCAACTATTTTCCATTGGGAATTTTCAACCAAAAAATTGTTTTCTCCTCTTGGACTTCTGTTTGCTCTTGTGAACAAGGTCACAGAGCTGCAAGAGAGGCTTGAGAATAGTAGAGTGGCGGAAAAGAGTGATGTTCCCGTTGAACCGGAGAAGAAGACGTTCCGCGATGTGACGATTGAGGGGGAAATAACATCACTCAAAGCGAAAGTTGCAGAGTCCGACCTGATAAGGGCCCGCGCTACAGAACTTGAGCAGAAGCTCAAGGATGCAGAGATACGTGAGCATCGCCAGGTGAGTTGCCCATTCAAGTCTCCAATGTCTGGTTTTGTTATGATCCCGCCTGACTCTTGATGTGAAGCTCAACTCTGAGTGAATGTTATTCATCACATATCAGGAAGATGTGAAATAAGAAAGAAGAAGAACTCAAGAATTTTCATTGTCTTGTGCCCTCTTCTCTCCACCTCATAAGCTCCTTTTGATTATAAAATAGAAATGATGGAATGAAGGAATGAACAATCGTCGATGTCCGCAAGATCCCCTTACTGCTTCTGCAGGATGTCCGTTTAAGTCTCCTCTCTCTCCTCAGTAGCTATGGTGGATCATCGCTTCCATTCACAGATGTTCAACGTGCAATGCAACTACGACTATGCTTCTCCCTCGTACGATCATAGCCTGCCTCTCCTCCAAGGGCTTTTTTGATGCAGTGCCAGGCAGGCAAGTGAAGATGGGTCCACCAAAGCCAAGGGCGAGTCCTCTCTCTGTTACCTCACTCGTCCACTTCTCCTCCATAGCTATGGAGCTCTCTTCCATCACCTTCAGCTCCTCTGTTACATGCTGCGCCTGCAACAGGCTGCACGGGCCATTTTCAGGCCCATGTCATTTTCAGCCTGAAAGCCTGAAAACCAGGGCCTACAGGCCCCGTGTCTGTTTCAGCCTGACAGCCTGAAAACCAGGGCCTACAGGCCCCGTGTCTGTTTCAGCCTGACANGCCCCGTGTCTGTTTCAGCCTGACAGCCTGAAAACCAGGGCCTACAGGCCCCGTGTCTGTTTCAGCCTGACAGCCTGAAAACCAGGGCCTACAGGTCCCGTGTCTGTTTCAGCCTGACAACCTGAAAACCAGGGCCTACAGGCCCCGTGTCTGTTTCATCCTGACAGCCTGAAAACCAGGGCCTACAGGCCCCGTGTCATTTCAGCCTGACAGCCTGAAAACAAGGGCCTATAGGCCCTCAGGCTTTAGCCAGAAGCTACCTGGAAACTTCGCGGAAGCTTCCTCAGGCTTTAGCCAGAAGCTACCTGGAAACTTCCCGGAAGCTTCCTCAGGGTCTAGCACGTTTGGGCATTGGCAAGAGCAGCCTCCTGGACGGGCCAGCACTATATAAGACTGGCCCCCCCTACAGGCATGGTAGGTAGTTGGGGGGTAGTTCATAGGGACTGGCCAGGCACTTCACGTGCAGTACAGGCAGGAGGCAGTAGTCTTCAGGATTTGGCAGCAGCACTCTGGAGGAGCGCTGCAGTAGTAGTAGTAGCGTTAGTGTGGCATACTGCGTAGCCACACGGGCCTGCAGGGCCCGTCCTGCAGTTTCAGCCTAAAAGCCTAGAAAATAGGGCTTACAGGCCCCGGTCGTTTCAGCCTGAAAGCTGAAATACGAGGGCCTGCAGGCCCTATTCCGTTTCAGCCTATTTCTGGGCCTTTCAGGCCCAGAGGTTTATCAGCCTGAAACGGAGGGCCATTTTCAGGCCCTCATCGTTTTGACCGACCCTAGGACTCAGGCACAAAAACAGGGTTTTCGGAACAGGCTATCTTTAGCCTGTTCCCCACGACAGCTTCAGCCCCTGCCTCCCTTCGGCATTGGCAAGAGCAGTCTACTGGACTGCCTTGCCTGCAGTCAGGAGGCACCCAGTAGTACATAGAAAGTTCCCATGCACTTCACGGGTAGGTAGTTGGACAGTAGGCACGAGTAGTCTTCAGGATTCAGCGCAGCACTCAGGAGGAGCGCTGCAGGGAGTAGCTTAGCGCTAGCAGTAGTCTTCAGCGCTGGGCGCTAGTAGCCATAGCAGTAGTCTTCAGCGCTGGGCGCTAGTAGGTGGTAGATAGTAGAGTTGGGAGAGATGGCTGGCGGAGGCCAGCGAGACTTACCTGTGGCGCCATAGCTCCAGCTCCATCTTCGAGGTACCTGCATCAAGGCGCCAACTTCACAGGTTAATACTGGACTGAGAGAGAGAGAGAGAGAGAGAGAGAGAGAGAGAGAGAGAGAGAGAGAGAGAGAGAGAGTTCTTCTTCCTCTTCTTATAAGTCCACCATCTCTTCTTCCCCTCTCACCACCTGACTTCTCAGTATCAGCGGACTACTACAGAGAGAGAGTTGTGACTTGGGACTTGACGACATTGGATCCAGACTTGACATTTGGGATTCAGACATTTCGACGAGGAACTATTTGGGCTGTGCCGAAGACTTGGTGTTAACGACATTCCCATCTTCCCCTCCTCTTCGTCTAACCCCCTTCTTCTTCGTCTGTGTAT